TCTCCGTATGGTGGCTTTGAGTCGATTCTGAAGGAGGTCCATGCCACAAGCAGAGGTGAGAAAGCGTCATTTGACCGTTCGCTTTTCGCTTATAGACTGTTGGATCTGTGTACTTTCAGTTGTGCTGTACTTTGGGCTGGGCCCGGCTTTACGGGAATTTCTGGTAATTAATATTAATCATGTCTGCAAATATTTTTGCTTACCGCAGTTTGAAATCTGAAGAAGTGTTTCCACAGTTCACTGCTTCATCATTGGAGATGACGAATGGCGAATATGTAAATCTTTTGTCACAAGTTTTGTGTGTCTTAAATTCCTGGTATCCAGATCTGCTGACTGAAACATGCATGTCGCTGCAGGTTTACGTTTTGGTTGAAAACAATCTTTTTCGTCCAATACATTGGCAAGTGGGAGATAAAGACGATTCGGTGAGCGAGAATTTGATCGCATCTGTACTACGAGGCCAATGTCAAAAAGAGGAAGGGATAATTAAAGGAAGGAATGTTTTTTGGTCAAAAAGAGGAAGGAATAAATAAAGGAAGGAATGTTTTTGGTCAAAAAGAGGAAGGAAATTTTGATGGTAAAAAAAGGAAGGAAATTTTTGCGGTCAAAAAGGCAGGAGATTCCGATGGTCCAAAACAAGAGGAATAATGCGCTAAAAAAATTTTTCAAAAGTTTTGGACCTGAACGTGATGGTCTGAACCTTTTAAAACACAAGTAAATGAAGTACGTAATGCATTAAGCGGTACAGCTAAACATATTAAAAGGAAAAACAATTCTATTTAATCAACATAAATACGGAGTACAGTGCGATCTAGGTAATGCGCTTTGAAGTGTTGAATTATGCAGAGCCTGAATCAGCCTTTTGGTCAAAGAATAACCATCAGTGGCGGTTGCCTCTGATGTCTCACCGGGCAGTTCCACATTCAAAAAATGACTGAAAAATCAAAAAAATGAAGCATGGCATGGTGGAAATAAACATTTAATCAACAACATAATATCTGAATAAGACTAGAATAATACTAATAATACTCAGCATATGATGATAGAATTGCTAGAATTACTAACTAATATAGGTGTACAGTACTATAATTATTACTTTACTAATTAGTGACGTTGTTAACATTATTGTTAATTACTGTTGTAATGTACGGAGCCTGGATATACAACTCTGCTTAATACCGCTTCTTACACTGCAAAATGTGGCGCTCTAATGAGCTTATACGAGAATATGTACATGCTTTCACAAACCGTTCTGTAGTCCCAGTACCGGCAGCTTTTGAAATTAGAAACAGATTTTAGATAGTATTTAAGAAAGATGCAGCCTGCAATGAGTGCAATCGTGCATTCAGTGTTCTTCGCTACCCCAAAAAAGATTTCCAAAAACCGTTATGCTATTTTTGCTTCTAGTTATGCACGTTTGAGTTTTTCGCCACACAAGAAATTTCCTTCCTTTTTTGACCATCCGCATTTTACCTCTTTCTCACCCAAAAAACGATTTCTTCCTTTAATTATTCCTTCCTCTTTTTGGCCAAAAATAATTCCTTACTTTATTTATTCCTTCCTCTTTTTGACCAAAAATCATTCCTTCATTTATTTATTCCTTCCTCTTTTTTGACCTTGGCCTACTACGGCCACGTTTATTCATCGCGCTAGATATCCTAAATAGAAAACAAATATTGTCCCTTTTTACTGCGAATCGTCGGACGGTCCTGTATTATAGAAAACTATTGATAGCGCTAGTTGTACCGCAGTCTGGGCAAGCATGGAGTTGCTTAATTCTGTCGTCTACGATTTACAATAAGAGTTACGGTTGATTGCGGTAAGAGGCAGTATTTACATACGCTGGCAATCTTCTTATCTAGATTATTCTACAAGCTTTCCGTTCCATTCTGTTAATCAATCCAACTGAAAAAAACAACGACAGCTTTGCAAAAATGCAGCTTGGAGCAGAAATTCTTCGGCGAACTGAAAAAGATTTCAATTTCACCTATCCTCTATCTAACCAGGTTGGTTGATCATTCTCATCGTCAGATAACCGTACCGTATGAGGTATCGTAAATACAGTCTGTATACAATCTCAAAATACAGCCCGAATTTACATTAATTTATTATTTTATTTGCAGCCGTACATTCTTATCGCCAGCGGATATACAACTATTCTTGCGCTGGCCGAGGTAAATTTTGCGTTAAAGGTCAAGAAGATTTCAGGCACGACAGTCACAATAATTCTGTTATTTCCTTTCTTTTCAAAGTGTCAATTTTTAGGCTATTAACAATACATTAGCGATGGGAAACCAAGCAAACTGGAGTGGAGCGGCTCTAGTGCAGCGGCTTGTTAATCGAACTTTTGAGGATGATTTTGGTAACACGATGTACATTGACAATAACGGACAGCGGCGCACCGATTTCACTGTCTCTTTCTTCAGTGCATATGGAAATCGGGAGGTAAGATTTATTTACTTATAGCCTGTTTTCCAGTAGCAGCAAAAGCGCACATCAAAACCAGTTTTTTGCAGCCTTTGTTGAGAAAGTTTGGTCGAACCGGGTGTCTACAGGAAGTACGGGAGCTACTGTTATGGTCTGCCGCCAATGCTTCTTTTCCTCCTCCTAACGAACCGCTATGTGGATATCTTAAGCAAGGCGTACTGTGTGTGCCCGGTGAGTAAGATGTTGAACACCTACTGTAATTATACACACATGCTATCCGTACATTTATATATAGGATAAATGGTATAACATTTATATGACATTTATATGACAAGCACCCTGTCTGCCGCACATGCTTGTTAAAACGTGTGAAATGCTTTGAGTCCTTTCGTTAAAGGATTTACTACATTTGGTGTACGTTACAGGTGGCAATCGATCTCCGTACGTGCTTACATCCATTAGTTTAATTTGTGTAATCGGGGTCATTATCATCCTGGGATGCGCAGCGTAAGTCGCATTGCGTCGCATTTCAAATTTGTTTTAGTGATCTAAACTCTGCCAAACGTATGTTACACCGATAAACGTTACGATGAATTCATTTTCACAGCTGAAAGCTATACGAATCGTTGGTGGCGATTCAAAAACCGACAATTTCTGGGCATGGTTTCAGCGAATTTAGTTTTTCTTCTAAATATTTTCGAGGATAATCACAAGATTGTCACATGTATGCCACACGGATGAATGGTAAACACGAATGCATCAGTTGAACCAAAAGTGCCCACAGAGATTCTTTTGGCATGGAAAAATTGCGAACACTGATTTATTCACGTTCAAGATCCGATTACGTAAACCTGCACCTATTAAATTTGAAATAGGGGTTAAGTTGTAGTGGACGCGAGCTTCAGGACGTACAAAATGATTGACTTTCCAGTGTTCTTATTTCAACGAATACCCTTAGGCGCATCAAATACAAGGCTGATAACCAGTTACTCCGTGACCCCTGGTGGCAAGTACAGCTACACGAGACATCAAATCGCCGAGAAGCATCCCGCTACTCGACGATATTAGCTGAAGAAAAGAAATTCCGTTTCGATGACTTCGTATTAGGGCCGAATGCCCTACAAGGCGCTACTGCCGTATCACGCGCAAGTCAACCATTTTTTAAACGAAAGGTTGGTGGCAATTATTCTGTGCATCGTTGGTTCCTTAGAGCTTTTGCAAAGCCGTCATTTTTGGATCATATAACAACAAGTCGGTGATGTGCTGGAAAGCGGCCAGAAGAAACAGTCCAGTCAGCTTTGCTAATATCGCCACTAATAAAGAACTCCTCCTTCTACTACGCAAGGTACCGTAGTCTTTTGTCGTGTACGTTTGCTTTTACCGCTCATTCCAGATGGTCGATGTTTAGCTCAATAAAACGGAAAGCATCAACATATGCCAGTTTTTCGGGCTTGCCATAACAAAATCCACGAGGGGAATTCATTGGATCTCCGCCGTGATGGAATGCCCTTCACGGGGAGCTTTGCCGGATGTATTCGATAGCTACGTTAGCCGAGATCCGACCATGAGAAGCTCGCTCGTGCTTGATTATATCGAAGTACGAAATTGTAACTGTCTTCAAGCGGTGTTGAAAGCATCTTTCCGGTTTGCAGGCAGTTTGCTATATTCATTCTTCATCGTTACAATACCATGGGCGAATCAGCATTCTGACCTGCTGGGTGGATAAGCATTTCACATTAAAACTAGCGCATTTGGGATCCGAGAGAATTCGGCAATACTTATGTCAAACCTGCCATGATTTGAGCACGGGTTTTTGTGAGAATAATACCTGGGAATCTGCCTACTGGACGCCACCCGGGATAACGGTTAACACTGATAGCAAATCACAACAAATGGTGGATATTTATTCATCTGGTTTGATTATGCACGACATACTGACTTCGGGCAGTGTCTTCGGCAAAATAATAACGGCTACGAAAAGCAAGAAAGGTACCCGTGAGTGACTATATCAAGTTGCATCTAAATCAATCATTCAGGCTCCTGGATAATTTTCTAATGACTTTCCCGCATCAATCTGTAGAAAATCCAAGCATCCCCAGAATTCTTGACCTTTTGAATGTGTCGGACCTTCCCAACATACTTCAATTATGCGTTAGCACAGATCCGCTTCAGCGACCAGATGTCGATAGACTTCGACGTGAACTCCCACAAATTAGCCCTCTGTTGGCTCCAGAAAAGAAGAAGGATGCGCTTTTCGACAAAATTTGCAACAGATTAGAGCGTTACGCAGCCGAGTTGGAAGGGCAGGTAGCAACCAGAACCTACGAACTGAAGGAAGAAATGAACAAATGCGACGCTCTCATCGCCCAGTTTCTTCCAAAGTACACATATCTGCAAGCAGTGTTTCTGGTACGATTTAACGCTTTTATAATTCAGATTGTTCTTCATACAGATCTGTGACAAGACAGTTGCGGGTCGGAGAAAAGGTTTCGGCCGAAATTTTTGAATGTGTAACAATACTGTTTATCGATTTATACGGATTTGCTGACATTATCAAAAGCCATTCGCCTGAGATGACGATTAGCTTGATCTCGGCAACGGAAGGCTTCATCGATAAACTGTCAACAGAGGGCGATGTCTACAAAGTGGAGGCGATAATGGATTCGTTTATGGTAATTATTGATCAGACTATCTGATTTGCAGTTATTGTTACGTACATATTTTTGTGCAGGTTGCAAGTGGGCTACCCGAACGAATCGGGAAATATCACATCGAAAGAATCGCAGGGTTTGCCGTAAGGCTAATGGAAGCTCGACCTCAGCTGACGTTTCTGCAGGACTTGCTATTTAAGATCGGCATACATTCCGGTACATATGGTCGCTGTATGGCTGTCGGTGGCAGTTTTTTTCGATGACAAGTGTTATACTTAATTCAGGTCCGTGCGCCGCTGGACTTATGGGATTAAAACGGCCACGCTACTGCCTGTACGTAAGCTATGTGCATCATGTGATTTCTCCTTATTTGTCATTCATATTGGGGAATTATTTTTTGGACGAATGTCTTTAGTCATTTAGAGAAACACAGACAATTAAATGTTGGCGCTAGCACAAAACTATTACAGAAACAACATTTAAACGTCGCTTTGGTAATAGATTTGGGGATACCGTCAACATGGCATCCAGAATGTGTAGTCACGGCTTGCCAGGGTTTATTCATTTAAGCCCACAAAGCCAGGCACTTCTAAAAGACTTCCCCCAGTTTATTGCCGAGGCAAGAGGACTCCAAGCGATCAAGGGAAAAGAGGACATGATAACCTACTGGCTTCTTCCGTCAGCGCGCCACTGAATAAGCTTACAGTAATGCAAGTATATCATCTGGCAGTGCTGGCGCGAAACTCGTAGGTATAGTAATTTTACTGACGTCAGCAGTAATCAATTACAGTATGTTTGATTTACAGTATTTCGAATACTCGTGCAGTCTGAGACAAAGCAAAATCAATTTAAATTTTTGTCTTTTCTTCGATGGGGCTCTGACGGTTAGCCACAAAAGAATCAAGGTGCAGTTTAGACAAGCCCGACAGTTTATTGAGCGTTTTTAATAGAGCGTGAATGAGTAAATAAATTATCATAATTATTCATGGCATGTCTCCGTTCATTTGTAGTAAATGACCACAACGTTTACTGAAAGTTTAACACCACCCAGATTCATCAAGATTCAAATGTTATGACTAATTCCCACGGTATGAATTTAAATGCAACAGCTAGCACTAATACACACATTTTAGGCTGCAGGTAAAGTTGGTTCCTCATCAATCTTCTTGACTGTAGTGGGCGGTTCCATGATATTCTGGTCGGCTTTTCCAAATTTCAACTGCAGCTCGGCCTGCACTTCCTGAAAAGTCTTCCCCTTGGTTTCCACCGCCGTAAAATAAATAAACACCGTGATAGCCAACATCGATCCAGCGGAGATAGCGAAAATCCATTCTTCAATAGCCGCATGAACGATAGGAAATAAAAAGACTACTGCAAGGCTCAGTGAATAATTGCACGTCCAAGTAACTGATAACGCCGAAGTGCGCGCATTCCGGGGAAATAATTCTGCCGACCAAATCCACGGGACGCTACCAGTACCAATATTGAAGAATATCATAAACACCACGAAACAAGCCAGTGCCGCATACTGGCACCCGCCACATGCACTCTTGGATAGATTTAAAAATATCACCATTCCAATATTACACAGTAGACAGCCTCCAGCACCGAATAAAAACAGCGTGCGTCTTCCGAGACGATCCACTAAAAGCATAGACAGCACCATAATAAACAGGGGAATTCCCATTAAGCCAATGGTTCCATATACAGCAAAGGCTTTTGGTAAACCGCCCGCGGCCAAAATGGAGGTGGAATAGGTGAACACGGCTGTGTAACCGGAGAGGTGTTGTGTAACCATTGCCGCGTTACAAATAGCCAACGCCCACAGCAGTATCCGGTTGGTAAGGACTTCCTTCAGCGACAGCGACCTTTGCCCGGCCATCTTGTCTCTGTCGGCTTCAATCTCTTCCAGTTCTTTCGCTACATCCTCCGAATTCCTTAACCACTTCAGCGCTCGCAACGCTCGTTCTTGTCCATTCTTTAACGTAATTAAATGCCGCGGACTTTCGGGGCAGAACGGAAGGACAAGGAATAAAGCAATCGACGGGATGAGACGCACCCATAAGACGTCAATCCATAATTCTTCAGTGCCGAAAATGACTGGTATACCGAAGAAGACGCCGAGCAGCATACCAACAGCCCGGGACATTAGAGCAAACATACTTACCGCACCGCGCAGTGGTATCGGACTGATTTCGGCTAAATACACCGGAACAACGAAGCCGCACTGACCGGCAAACACACCTAAAATAAACCGCCCAATAACCAGCATTTCGAAGGAATCGCCAATGGTGCAGAGACTGCTGATGAGTGTGCCGACAACCGAAATGACATTGGATAACAACAACGAGTACCGGTTGCCAAAGCGGTGCTGGAACCACCCGGCAAACCATGCACCAATAGCGCCACCTGTCGGAATGGCGGCTCCAACTAGCGCCCATAGGGTGGCTAACTCTCCATTGTCTTTTAAGATTGTTGGAAGCTGGCGATTAGGAATAACGCTGCACCACAAGGTTTCTTCGGAATAATCGGAGACATTTAGCGATAGGTTGAAGGTCATCGATTCGTTGACGACAGGAAATCGCCGTGTGCACACAACATGCCGAATCCATTTTAAGATTAGAAACTGGGTAGTGTTAATGGATGTCATCATGTATCCCATGGGGAGCCATGTCCCGAAAGAAACCACACTGGCAACAAAAATTAGTTTACAAGATAGTCCAGAAAATTTGCTCACCATTTTTTTCGTATGTATGCTTAAATTGAGGTAATTATGAGCAGTGCATTCCACCAATTTTTGAAGTTCTGCAGTTTACCGTAACACAAAAGCGCTGTTATAGCTCGGGTTGATCAACACAAGGAATCGACCCAAATTGCTCGTAGCCAAAAAAGCAGTAAATCAAATCGATTTATCTGTACTCGTACTGGGTGCGATTATAACCATCGGCAAACAGCTTATTAAAAATTGTATGAAGTCTAACTTTTGACGTTGAACCAGCCCTAGTCGTTCCTTCGAAAGTAATAAATCTTAATATTAATGAATTATGTAAGAGGCAATAGCAGTAGAAGATAGCCTTGTGTACTCGTTTATGTGTTTATTTAACTCTTGATTTCGGATGCACAAAGCTAGCAACTAACTACCAAGTCATCAGTGCATTAATTGCTGCTGTCAGTGTTATTGGCATTTGGCAATAATACATACTGTATGTGATGATATTCGTATATCATTTTCATTAAAATCTCCAGCACCTTCGTTATAGTAAAAGCGATCGCTTGAGGTTTTAACCTCAAACGCTAAACCAGACTTGATCGTTCCGTTGAAAAATTAAAAAATCCTAAGATTAATGAATTATTTAAAAGGTGCTAGCAGTACCGTACGGTCGTTCGGTTGGCCACCTATGGTAAGTGAATGGGCGATGGTCGTTCAAAGTGGCCACCTTTTATTATAAATTCCACAAACCGATTTCCTTCCGGTTTTCTTCTTTATCCAATTCAGCATAACGTACTCTATACATAACATTTGGAATTTTTGAAATATCTTGAACCGTTTTCTTGCAAATGCGTCGTTAAAAAAAACAGTGACGAAACACTTTAGCCACGCCACGCGAGCCACTGCACTACGCCATCTTTATTGCAGTAATCGCCACGTTTGTGCGGCTGCGCAGAATAATGCAGATTCACGTATGTTTAATTTGATTACTTTAATTATTGGAAATCAATATTGCCGCCCCTTTTCACCCCCGCTTTTTATAGCCACCCATTTTCGCACCCTGTTTTTTATAGCCATGCAGTGAACGTATCAAGATGCTTATTGCTTAATTTCCATATTACGAGTATAAATCGAGCGACCGTGGCAATAAACCGTATTTAACGTGTAAACTGTAAAGAACTCGTACAGGTTTTGCACTTGCTTAAGAGGTGCCTATAAAAAACAGGGAGTCTAAAAAATTAATTAAATAATTACAAAAGGGTGCCTATAATTAATGGGTGCGGAAAAGGGATGGCTATAAAAAACGGGGGTGTTTGGGATGGCTATAGTGTCACCCTTATTTATCTGTTGAAAATTGTTCGTTAGGCATATTCACTTTCACTGTGCACATGTGTTATTTACACAGAGACAGCGCAGCCGCACATGTCAGGCGGTGACTGCAGTAATCATTGTGTAGTGCAGTGGCTCGCGTGGCGTGGCTTAAGTGTTTCGTCACTGCTTTTTTAATGTTGCAATTGCATGAAAACGGTTGAAGATATTTCAAAAATTCCAAGTACTATGTACAGAGTACGTTATGCAGAATTGGGTAAAGAAGAAAACAGGAAGGAAATCGGTTTGTGGAATTTGTAATAAAAGGTGGCCACTTTGAACGACCATCGCCCCTTCACTTACCATAGGTGGCCAACCGAGCGACCGTACGAGTAGTTGATAGCCGTGTCAGCTGAGCAGCTCTTCAATTTAATTTAATGTTTAGAATGCACAAGGATCACAGTCAGTCAGCAGTGCATTACCGGCAGGCAGCTAGCGCTTCTGGCAGTCAATAAATCTGCATGCAGTAGGTACGTATAAGTACAATGTACTCGTACATTATACTTTCCTTTGAAATCTCTAGTTTTAGTAAATTTATGCCGATTTTCGTGGAATTATGATTTGTGTTTTTGGAAAAGGCTTGCTGCATTGGCAGTGCTATTTATGGTTTGATGCCAAATTACTGTACCACACAAACGTTTCAGCAATAAATCAGCCGGCATCCAGCTGCTTCCAGCATGAGCATTTGTTCGGAACCCTTACAACATGAACAGGTCACTTGAAGCATAATAAAAAATAAACGAAGGCAAAAAACAACGCAGTAAAACAGAGCTTAATTGCTTTGGATAGGTAGCACTTCTTTTTAAATTAATTTTCATTTTTTTCCATATGAACTATGTACATCTTACATACATCAGTAGGAAGTTGTCAGAATTCTCCTATACAAGTATGGATGCTGTATTTAGCATTTGCAGTGTTCCTAAATTAAAACGTTTTCCTCTTGCAGAGTTTCTCCAGTTCTTCTGGAAGATCTCGTTCTTCTGCATTGAAAATACTTTTCTGGAATCCGCTTTACCATTGACTTTGCGAATCTCAGTAATTACATTTAACGAGATACGCAATGGTCAAGGTGCATAACACTATTGAGATTGTCGCTACCATTCGTAGTTAGTACTGCACTCATACGTTCTTTTGTTGGTATTGGGCCTATCGGCACTCGTAATAGCAGTGGATGTGCGGCGGACATAATTAGCTTCCTTGGATTGGTTCAATTTTTCTTTTGGGCTGCAGTTTTTGTGAGACCACGAAGCGGGAAGTGGAATTATTGAAGGAAGTAAGAATTTGGAAATAAATAATACATAATTCGGTAAGAAGCCGTAATTCAAAGCGTGCTTCGTTGTGTTCGGCCAGGTTGAAAATACCGTGCTCAGGTGCTGCGTAGGCAAATAGTAGCACGCTAGCGAGCTGGCTATCTTTCCCATGAAAACGTTATTTCCGGCGTCTGTCATCACTGTCACGGTGAGCGTTGAAGAAATACGTACCTATTTACAAAACGAAATCTTAGAAATAGCTCACTGGGATGATTCTTCTTTGTTGGATTGGTAATAGTTAAAGTAGGATTAACCCTGTACGAATTGGCTAATGGCTACTGCACGTGCAGTATGCCGCGAATTTCTGGTAAATGTACTAAGATTTAGCCTAAATCTGCTTATTATTTTGGTTGTGTCCAGCGCAGTGTATGAGTTCCGTTACTGAATCCTGTTAACCTCGCATATATAAGTGCCTCTCGATGTATAGTAAACTTGTCGCTACTTCCAGTTGAAAGTTTTTCTCTCAGTGTGCGCAGTGCGCAGTATAAAAGTTCGTGTAGTAGTAAGCAAGTAGCGCTAGGAACTACCGTTGGGTTATCATGGCACCTCCAGCCACACTCACGAAGTCCCAGCTGAAGAATCGGTATGGAACGGTTCCGCTGATGAAGTCCCTTTGTGCACAACTTGGACTCAACCAAGCCGGGAAAAAGACAGAACTCATCGCTCGCCTTTATGCACATTATGGGATCGTAGCACCTCAACCAACCGACACCGGAAATCTCATCGACGATGTCGCGCCGGAAGAAACCAGCAGCATGACCATCGATGAACTGAAGAGTGCCTTAAACCTTACCGAGGCCACCATGAACCAGTTGAAAGACGCCGGTTTCACCGGCACCGATGACCTTTTGGCCCTAGCCGAATCCTCCACATTCCCCGATAACCTGGCCTTCATGACCCTTATCCGTGATCGCACCGTAATTGAAGGCTACCTCATCGACAACACAACCGAGATCCCGGACAGCGCCTCAGTCACATCGGCATCAACCGCAGTCGAGGGCGGATCAGCGCGCACGCAAGCCAGTCCACCACGGGCCGCCAGCCCTTCCCGTTCCAAAAGCAACAAGCACCGTAATCATCGGAAAGCAGGTGAGGACAGTGGTGACAGCAGCGATAGTGAATCTGACAGTAAATCGCATAGTCGGCGAAGATCTAATCGAGATTATTTAGGGTTCCGGTTAGTCGGAGATGGCACTACAGTATCTCCGGCTGACTGCAGTAATTACAAAAGTGCGCTTAACGAAGAGAATAAACCCTTGCTGGATGAATTGTTCGCGGACGAGCTGAATCTGGGTCGTATTACGAAGCAGACTGAAAAACCGATCCGGATTCAGGCCATAGGAGCTGTTCCAAAAAGGGCAGTATTGTTCCTAGACCAATAACGGATTGCAGTCGACCTTTCGATTGTTCGTTAAACTCCTTCATTGTTACAGAAAGCTTTTCTTTCCAAAGTATCGATGATGCGGTTTTACTCAGTACTCGTAATTGTTTTTATGCTGTGGTTGACTTACAGTCAGCCTACCGTTGGGTGCCAATCTATCCTCCTCATCGACAGCTACAGGGTTTTAGGTGGGGATTTGGAAATTTAGCTGAAGAATTTTACGTTGACAACTTTCTGTGTTTTGGACTTTCAAATGCTCCAGAGATTTTTAATCGTATATCTAGGGCAATTGTAAGGATGTTACCAAGAAGAAATATTATTGTTGTTGCATATCTTGATGACTTTTTAATTATCGCATTTAGTTTTGAAGATTGTTTAAATGCACAAAATGTTTTGATTGAATTGTTAAATTGTTTAGGTTTTCGCCTGAAATTAGAAAAAGCCGTTAGCCCGGCAAAACGGGTAACGTTTTTGGGAATAATCATTGATTCAGAGCTAGAACGACTGGAAATACCGGATGATAAATTGAGTAGGTTAGCGGAGTTGGCCCAGTTTCACTCCCGAAAAGCGAAAATTACGAAGCGAGAACTCCAGGTATTAGTTGGCCACATGTCTTTTGCGTCAAAAGCAGTTTATGGGGCGCGTACTTTCACGCGAATTTTCATCGACGCCCTAACGAAACTGAAAAAGCCGACTGATCATACTCGAGTTAATAAAGTACGTACAGAACTAATGTGGTGGATTGAGTTTGCACCAAAGGTCAACGGACTCTGTCCATCACCTTTCGGGTGTAATTGGCCGGAATTAACTATCTGCACCGATGTCTCTCTGGCCGGGTTTCGCGCCACTTCGAATAACATGTGGCTAACCGGTCTCTGGGAGGACGGTGTAGGTCACAGAATACCCAAAGTTTTCCAAATTAACCGAATTCCGGCACCTTATCTAAAACCGGGTATAAAATGTAATATTAATTTTTTGGAACTGGTGGCAGCATGTTTGCCACTACTAGTATGGGCACCGTTATTTAAAGG